TTTGGATGAGCACTGGGAGTTTTATGTAAGTGATGAATCACGGGAATCTACTCCTGAAGCCAAGACTACAGTGTGTGTTAGCTAACACAGTATGTATAAAAACAAAAAAAAAAAAAGAGAGAGAGAGAGATTCTCATTAAATCATGACAATGAAGCTAGGGGATAGTTTCATTATTATCTCAATTTTACACACGGGCATCCCAAGTCTCCTTTAAGTAACTTGCCCGTGGTCACACAGCTGGTCAGGAACAGAGCTGTGACTGGAAACTCACAGATACTTTATGCAAAACTATGGACACAAAAGCAAGTTTTCAATGAATTTCCCACATTTTGCTGTGTATCTTTTCGTGGATGCATCATTCCCTACAAATGGGAGAATGGAACTCTCCAAGTTGTTGAAGGGGTTTGGAACTAATCTTTCGCAGCAAGTAAATACCCATATGATAAGAAGGAAGGGGAGGTTATAAACCTAAAGAAGTATCTTGCAGGTTTGGGGCTCTATACAAACGTGTGTTTAGGAGAGACAAATCAGAGGTTCACACTTGAGTATGAAAATACATGCACCTGTGTTGATGTTGGCTCAGGCCATGGGTGATGCACAGTCAACCCCAATTCCCCTTGAAAAAGGAAAGTGACCATTTTTAATCAGGAAACCGAGGTCCCTGGCATGGACTGCCTGGGTCCTGGTCCCAACCCTCACTTCCTATATGACACTGAGAAGATTACCTAACCCCCCGTGTCCCCTTCTCCAGCTGTAAAATAAGAACAATAATCATTTTCTTCATGGGGTTGCTACATTAAAATTAAATGGGACAATCCATGTAAAGTTCTTAGAACAGTGCCTACCGCATGGAAAGGAATCAAAATCATTAGCTGTTTTTGTTGCTGTATTATTGCTGTTGTTGTTTCTTTTAATATTGTCGTTGTTAACTGAAGGCCATGGGCCGATAAAAATCGCTTCATGGCCTTTCCACGTAACTACCGTCTGCTAAGGAAATGCAAAATTTTACAACTCATTTCCACTTCACTTTATAGAATTAATAGAATGAAGGTAGAATCCATTGAAATCTATTTACAGAAGATACGTGTTCTGCGAGGAAAAAGTTACCCTTGGTTTTAGTCTATAAAGACGTAGGTCAACAGAAGACTGGCAATTATCCTGGTTTTTAAAACCCAGATCTTTAGAGAGGGTCTGAGTAGAGGGGGTCTAACTGCCTGTTAATCTGATTCAGTGCAAACCTCCTGTCACTGCGCAGAACCGTCCATGCCTTGGCGAGGAAGCAAGAGTCACTCAGAGGGACTCTAGTGCTGCAGAGAAGCAAACAGAGTGTCAAACAGACAAATCACGCGGCCTGTCCATTTATTTGCACACTCAACGCACACCACGAGCGTCCTGAGCCCCTCATTTCTGCCAAGAGAATCACTTCTACTCTGATAACAGCAGCTCTCCCACGGGAGAATGGTGTTCCCACCCTACCCCCTCTATGGAAATCAAAATGACCATGACCATGATCGTGATGATGATGGCTGCCGATGCCATTCACTGCAACTGGACAACGTTGCACTGAACGAACCACTTCCCACGTATTATCTCCTTCGACTCTTACAACAACATGGGACAAGTGCTGTTATTATCCCCATTTTACAGATGAGGAGACTGAGCTAAGAAGAAGAGTAAATAACGTGCAGAAGTTCACAGAGCCAGTCAAGGCGGGAAGGCTACATTTGAACCCAGCCCTATCTGATTCTGATCCAGGCCTTCTTTCCCCTGACTAGCTCTGGAACCTGTTGCCACCATTAGGTCAATAAAAATCACAAAACATCATTTCCAGCCATTACAATTTAGGAATAGGTTTTAAACACGTTTTCATGGAACTTCAATGACTTGATGTGGAGAAATAAATAAACAAAAAGCAAAATCCCGGATTTCTAAAATTTGGCCAAATCCATCATCTAAATGATGTAACTTCCTTATTGCCTATACTATATATGCAGGTCATACGGGGAAAACCGGTTTTTTAATTTGGCAAATGTTTTGTAAGAGTAACTAACATTGACTCTTCAATGTAAGTATAATATAATGGACTGTCGTTCCTTCTCAGTTTATGTTAGAATTCCTTTGCTACAATTTATTTTGCTTTAAAATGCATTCCTGTCGCAGAAGATCACATTAAACTGAACAGCGCCTTGAAAATTCAGCAATTTCTAGGGGCACCTGGAAGACTCAGTTAAGCGTCTGACTTTGGCTCAGGTCATGGTCTCATGGTTAGTGAGTTTGAGCCCCCCACCCCACCCCCATCGGGCTCTGTGCTGACAGTGGGGACCCCGCTTCGGATCCTCTGTCCCCCTCTCTCTCTGCCCCTCCTCCCCTCTCAAAGATAAATAAACACTTTTTTAAAGTTCAGCAATTTCTAAGCGCACAGTAAGGCACATTACTTACTGTTAAATCAAACAAATAGACATATTCGGGAAGTTTTGCAAACTCGTCATTAGAAATAATTTCTTTCATTTGGGAGGCAATTGTATTTTTCAAAGGCTCTCACACTTGGTGTCTTACTTATGGCTCACACAAATCCAGTGAGGGAGACAGGGCACTCACTAGCCCTGCCTAGAAACAAGGAGGAGACTAAGAGAATGTAGTAACCTCCAGGCAGAGCTGGGACTAAAGTCTCCTGTACCCTCTGAAATTACATAGCACCAAGTGCTTGGTGATTTTGAGTGTGCGTGTGGTGAGGGATCTAAGTATGTGTCCTGCCCCTACTCAGTGCATCCTTGTAAGTAAAATAAAAAATGGTCACTAATCGGGGCGCCTGGGTGGCTCAGTCGGTTAAGTGTCCGACTTCAGTTCGGGTCATGATCTCATGGTTGGTGGGTTCGAGCCCCAAGTTGGGCTCTGAGCCTGTTTCAGATTCTGCGTCTCCCTCTCTCTCTGCCCCTCCCCCCTCCTCTCTCTCTCTCTCTCTCTCTGTCTCTCTCTCTCTCTGCCTCTTAAAAATAAATAAAAATGTTGAAAAATTTGTACAAAGAGGTCATTAATATCTCTTTAAGGGCTCTTGGATGTGCCCTGAAAATCTTGGCCATATCTCATTCCCACTATCACGGGATGAGTTGTCCTTACCCCAGGTCCAAACGTATAAGACTGAATAGAAAAGTGTCCTCCCAGACAGATTAAACCATGGAGAGGAAAAGTAGAGCACTGTCACCAAAACCAACGGCTACAATTATCTGAGTTCCTAGAAACATGTGCTTCAAAATTCACTGACGTTATCTCATTCTAACGCAGACAATTATTATGAAGTCAATTATTATGACATCTGTTCTATGGATGATAAAAGCTGATGTCCAGATTGCTTCATTTGCCAACATTTCTGTAAAGAATTCTTAGCAGAGCCGAGATTTACACTCAAATCTTTTCATTCGTAAGCCCTTTCTTGATTCTATGATGGCCTGGTGGAGGTTCGAACCCAATATATTCGGCCCCACCATGGCTGTTTATGCAGTGATAAATTCATCCTTGGCCTGTAAGGGAGATGCGGAAGAATGTATGGTCCCTATCGGACATTTACAAACATCTGTTTGAAAGAAATATTTTTTAGCAATCTTCTTAAAATAATCTACTTTTGACCCATGGCACACGCAGAGAGAACAATAACAGTGCAGTCAAGATTAATTAAAACTCTGACTAGGTCTCCATTAGGCCATACAAAAATCATCAAAGCAAGTCATTTATTACAGGACATTTGTTACACTTGAAAAAAATTACAAATAAGGAACTATTTGAAGGAAGCTACATGTCCTCAAGGAGACAAGCAGCACCCCACAGAAAACTGAGCAGAAACTGCAGCTGAAAAAAGGTCACACGTACGTGGATCCATCCGAGCGTGAGGAGGCCGTGTTGGTCCTGAACACTGAATAATTCTTCTACATTCTCCACGTCACAGTAGTCCGGCCCCGCAGACTGCTTTGGCACAATCACATGGGTGATAGTAAATTCATTATGCGTCTAGAAAACAATTGGCACAAAGGATAACAAGCATCTGAAAGGGAAAAAAAAAACAAAAACAAAAACAAAAACAAAAACCCACAACCTGAAATGGAAATACAATGATTTTCTGTAAGACTAGAGAGCGTCCGGGCCACCCGGTTGGCTCAGTCGGTTAAGCGTCCGACTTCGGCTCAGGTCATGATCTCCCGGCTCATGACTTCAAGCCCCATGTCGGGCTGTGTGCTGACAGCTCAGAGCCTGGAGCCTGCTTTGGATTCTGTGTCTCCCTCTCTCTCTGCCCCTCTCCCATTCACACTCGGTCTCTCTCAAAAATAAATAAAAATATTTAAAAAAAAAGAAAAAGACTAGAGAGCATCCGTCCCCCCACCTGCAACCTCCCAACCCATCGACACTCAAAATCAAAGCCTCACTCTTAAAAATGGATTCTTTGCCAAAAACTTGAGAATCAGCTCTCTGGAACTCAAAACCTATGTTCACAATGGAAGATGTATAATAAACAGGAGTTCTTAGCATCCCAGGCTGGTCCACGATAGCTCAGTTAATAAATAATGCCTTGATGTATTACATTTGCCGTGGAAAAAATGCAGAACAAAACAGCAGCAGGTTGATGCGGGAGACTAAGTGCTTTTGTGGTTTTACTGAAGGACGTTTGTAAGGCGTGTGGAGGTCGATGGTCTTGTTTTTATTTTATTAATTATGTTTAATTTCACTTCCAGACCTAATTTTCTTCTGCTACTGGGGCTACTCACGGGGATTGCCCATAATTAAGGTACTGTTCTGGATTTGCGTTCAGAAAAAGAAAAAGGAAGAACAAACCACTCCCTTCAGGTAAAAGGTAAGAGTTGAAGGAAAAAGGCCGAGAAGAACGGGTGCGATCCTCAGGCGGCAGACGTCATGCTGACAGCGGGTGCCCACTCCTCCCTAAGCACCCCTTTCCCTCTGCTCTGACGGGGCTCTGTTCCTTCGGCCTGGATCGTAACTCCTCCCTCCATCGCCCCTCCCGCCTCTCATGGCTAACTTTATGTATTATCTTCAGGCCTGGCGTAAACGTCACTTCTCAGGGAAACCCTTCTTGACCTTCCCAGACAAGGTCAGTTTCCCAGTCACACACGGCCATGATGCCCTGCACTTCCAGGGAGAGCACCGGCCCCACCGATATCTAGTCACCTGTCTGATTCTTCACAGACACCATGTGAGAGTCACAGGCAAAAACTGTGGCTGCTCTAGGCTACAAATGCCGACACCAAGCCCCGCGTCTGCCAAACGCAGGTACTCAGCACATGTCGCCCGATGAAGAATGAATGAAGAATCAGTCAATCAACCCATCAAACTAGGCACAGCATATGGTCTTGAAGAGGAAGCATCCACAGTCCCCGCCCCCCACCCCAAGGGCAAACAAGGTGGCTGTGGGGAGACCGCGGCAGGCCGTGTTCTTGTGCTTGTTGTCTGTGCTTCGTCTCTCCCGGAGGAAAAGTGAAGATGTACAACCGGAATACGATAGGAGAACGCGTGTCGACTGAAGCGTGTTATTCAACTAAGCAGCAGTTCCCACGCTGAATGCGCAGGACAGAAAATGTGCCTGGACCCAGAATTGAAAACTGATATCCAAATGAGTCTACGAAGGGCACTTTCAACGAAACATTATTCAGCCTTCTTGCAAGTAGGCAAGCGAGGCTTATGCATATTCTCTCTTCTGTCCTCCTTGTTTTGACATTGTCGTTTCGTCGCATATTTCGGAGGAAATCTTCCGTACGTAAGTGGGACCGGTGCTATAAGATTTCAGCTTCCTGAGACTACCGTCTGAAACCCTCATTTTATTCCACATGTGTCTGAAAAGGGTGGCAAGATGTCACCCATCAAACCCGCTAGAGTTAATTACATAAACACATGTGAAACTAACCACTGCAATGGAACTCTGATTTAGAAAACTAGATGGTTTTGGAAATTGTAAGACCTGTAATCTATCATTTTTCTAAACAAAGGTTTAATATGTGGTTTCACTCATTCTTCACAACCAGCTTGTACGGTACCCCTGAAATCGTGCAATCCATTTCCCAGGATTCATTGCATTAATAATGCCAGTAGTCGTGTGTCATTAATCCAGGTAAAGAGAATTTCATAATTTTTGCAGCTCTTAGGATCCTTTTATTCTGTTCTGCTTGTCGCAAGAAAGCCATTACTACTGAACGTGTATCTTGGGAAGAAAGATATGAAACAAAGACCATACCAGTTTTCCACAGAGTATTCCACACGTTTCTACTCCTCTCACTGTATTAGATTCTGCCAGCAGCAGAAATTTGTGGCAGAGGTCTCCGGATAAAGCTACACAGCGCAGTCCTTCAACCACTAAATCTAAGAAACAGAAAAGGCAGAAAAAGCTAAAAAAGACCAGATCTTCCATCCCATCCATCAGAGCTATTTTTGGCAAGCAACTACCGGGCAATAGAGATATAAAAAATGAGGGGTGCCTGAGAGGCTCAGTCAGTTAAGCATTCGACTCTTGATTTTGGCTCGGGTCGTGATCTCATGGTTCATGAGTTCGAGCCCCGCATGGGGCTCTGCGCTGACAGTACAGAGCCTGATTGGGATTCTCTCTCTCCCTCTCCCCAACTCACTCTGTCTCTCTTAAAATAAACTATATATATATATATATATATAATTGCACTATATATGTAAAGTGTGTGTGTGTGTGTGTGTGTGTGTGTGTATATGTATATATATAGTGAAATTATCAGGTGTTCCACTTCCTATATTTTATTTTTAAACTCTTAAAAGTACACATTGACCAGAAGGAAGGTAAAATTCCACTTTGCATATAAATTATTTTGTGAACAAGTGGGAAGGTTCAAGCATTTTTCCATCTTTGTGCCTCAGATCAACTGTCTGCATAGATGTGTGAGGTTTTTGGAGGGTACCAAGCAAATACACCTTCACCTGCACAGGCTGCAGCGAATGGATCTCACGGACCATCAGGCATAGGATAGATATTCTTTCCTGTGTCTTCCGTATGTTTCTGATAGCTTCATGAAAGTTGGTGATCATTAAGTAAAAGCACTGTTTTCAGAACTCATTAGTGATAGGGTAACTTATTAAATAGTTGCCTATCGTAACTCTTTTAAAATAAATGGAAACGCAGACTGCAATCCGACAGTGTCTGTGGGGAAAATCTACCCCATTTGGTTTTGGGAGCTTGCCAGAGCCGACGGAGGGGCACCAAGCAGAAGTAACTGTTGGCAGAAGCTTATAATCCATCTGGAGGGTAACGACCTGTGTGTCAGAGAGCCTCCTGGGCAGGGACATGCTAAACGTGTACATTTACATTTGTATTTGTATTTTTTAATGCTTTTATTTATTTTTGAGAGAGAGAGACAGAGAGAGACAGAGACAGAGCACAATCAGGGGAGGGGCAGAGAGAGAGGAAGACACAAAATCCAAAGCAGGCTCCAGGGTCTGAGCTATAGCACTGATGTGGGGCACAAACCTGTGGACCACGAGATCATGACCTGAGCCAAAGTCAGACGCTTCACTACTGAGCCACCCACGTGCCCCTACATTTTTTAAAATGCAGGGTTTTTTAAAATTTATTTTTATTTATTTTGAGACATAGAGAGCAAGCAGGGGAGGGGCAGAGAGAGAGACAGAGAGAATCCTAAGCGGACTCTGTGCCATCAGCACAGAGTCCGATGTGGGGCTTGATATCACAAATGCAAGATCACAACCTGAGTTGAAGTCGAGAGTCAGACGCTTAACCGACTGAGCCACCCAGGCGCCCCATAACACTTATGTTTACATTTTTAAGCAAACGATTTTCTTAGCATCTTCTTCCCTCTCCAGTGTAAGTATTTACCTTTAAGATTCATGTGTTTCTTGACTAAAATGCATGAAAGAAAAATAAATGCTTGGAATTCTTCTCATTTCAAATCTCTATACCATGACCAGATACAGTCCTGTTGATTACAGCGTGCTGTTCTATCCGGGCGGGCAAATCATGCTTCCTGAATTTTAAGGTTACGGACAGGAAGAGCCGGATGGCACCCTTCATACCGCATCGTGTGGGGGCCCTACCCCAGTGGATGATGAAAAGAGGGGGGCGCCTGGGTGGCTCAGTCGGTTAAGCGTCCGACTTCAGCTCAGGTCACGATCTCACGGTTCGTGGGTTCGAGCCCCGCGTCGGGCTCTGTGCTGACGGCTCGGAGCCTGGAGCCTGCTTGGGACTCTGTGTCTCCCTGCTCACGCTCTGTCTCTCTCTCTCACTCCAAAATAAATAAACATTTTAAACAATTTAAAAAAGAGAGAAAGGAGGAGCACCTCCCAGCGGTTAGGGGCCACGGCTCCAGCGGAAGAGAAGCCGTGTCTCGCGGGGATGCGTTTCATCACTTACTCTGCACGGCGCTCAGAGTGGCCGCGGGCTTCAGAGCCCTGTTGACGGGGGGCGAGTGGCTGGCGGAATTGGCCGCGTCGCTTTTGCCAGGCTGGTCCGCGGAGACGTGCAGCAGGGAAGGGCTGTAGCGCGGGCACAGGCAGGACGCGGCGCTGCCGTCGATCTGCTCGGACAGCGCGGGGGGCTCCGGGCTGCGCATCTGCCCGCGGGCCAGTTCCTGCTTCTTGAGCTGGTCTTCGAAAAACAGGAACTGCTCTGACTCCAGCTGCTGCTGGCGCATCCGAGCCACCCGCTTCCTCTCGGCCTCGATCAGGCTCTGATGCTCCAGTCGTTTGAGAATCTCGGCGTCGTACTTGTTCTGAAAAAAAACGTGGCGGCCGCAAGAAGAGGTTAGTTTCCAAGGCAGCCGCCTCGAAGCGGGACTGGACACTTGCAGGCTTCTAGCAGACGCAGAGACACAGAGGCCACGGTCCGCCCACGGGGACGCTCACGCGACAGCGAGGAAAATGTCAACCATCACGGCCGAGGCCCCTTACGTTGGCCAAGGGGGCAGTCCCAAAGCCACCCGCGTTTTACCAGAGGCGGGCTATGGCAGTCAAGTTCCCTCCATACCCCACGCTTTTAAAAAGAATTAGGAAATCAAGGTCAGGATGGTCGGCGTGGCCCGACGGACCAAAGCAAAATCTCTCAGAAATGGTCACATCACCCTAGACCGCCCCGTCCAAAATCACAGCCACTGGCCACATGGACTACTTAAATCTAAATGAAGTTATATGCAATGAAATCGGAAATTTAGTTCCTCGGTCACGCCGGCCACCTTTTCAGCACCACGTGGCTAGTGGCTCCCATAACAGCGCCACACAGAACGTGTCTATCATCAGAGGAAGTTCTACTGGACAGTCCCTGCCGTAGAAGTTTTTGCCTCTGACTCGAGAACTCGGGGGCTTTTTGGAGAAAGGGGAGTCACTAGGAAACGGTCCAGCCATCTCTATCAGAACGAATGGGGAATTTTGTTAAGATGATGAATCCCAGGTTCCCTAGTCTCAAAAAAAAAAAAAAAAAAAAAAAAAAAAAAAAAAAAAAAAAAAAAAAAAATCCAGGCATTATTAGGTCAGAGAATACAAATCTTTAATAAGTTCCTCAAATGATTTTGATAAAAACTAACTTTGGGGATGCTTGGGTGGCTCAGTTGATTTAAGTGTCCGACTTCAGCTCAGGTCATGATCTCACGGTTCGTGGGCTCGAGCCCCACGTCGGGCTCTGTGCTGACGGCTCAGAGCCTGGAGCCCGCTACGGATTCTGTGTCTCCCTCTCTCTCTGCCCCTCCCCTGCTCACACTGGATCTCTCTCTCAAAAAGAAATAAACATAAAAAAAAATTAACTTTGCCGGATGCCTGGCTGGCTCAGTCAGTAGAGCACACGACTTTTGATTTCAGTGGTGAGCTCCAGCCCCACACTGGGGGTAGAGATTACTTTTAAAAAATTATGTATAAAAAAAAAAAACAACAAAAAGAAAACCAACTAACTTTGGTAGGGGTGGGGTGGGGCACACAGCTTCCAATAGCACTTGGGGTGCACACGAATCACCCGGGGTTTTGTTATGAGGGCTGATTCCGATTTGGCAGCTGTGGGCTAGGGGCCGAGATTCCCATTTCTAACAAGCTTCTGGATGATTCCAGGACTGCCTACAGTGAGGGTTTACTGATGGGTAAACCCATCTCTCTCTCCTCCTCTCTCCTCCTCCTCTCTCTCTCTCTCCTAGGCATAAAGGCTGCCCCTCGGACTCCACAGAGATTGCCACATGACATCTACTTTGGGACACTGTTGTGGCCTGTGATATAACTGCTATCATCAGAGGCAGACCAGGCCTTTCCTCCCTGGGAGATCCTGAGGGGGCAACCACAGGCATCGTTGACGTGAAGGAAGACCGGATTGGGCTTTTCTCTCCTTTGCTGTTGCTTTGTCTGGGTCCCCCAAATCATTCTTATCTTTCATAGTTCAAGTCAAATCATCAATGTGCACACTTGAGGAGTTTCAACATTTCAGATTTCAACATTCCTGCTGTCATTTAGTGGAAGCTCAGCACTCAAACCTGGCTATGCCCCCAGGAAGCAGAGACATTCTGCGACCATGTGCCAAGTTCATGACATTGAACTGAAGCGAAAGTCAGTACAAGCGACAATCCCAAAGCACAAAAACACACAAACAAAAAAAGCAACACCACCTTTATAACAACGCTAAAAACAGGAAGAATTCAAGGTTTGAACTTGAGGCCCTATGGACTGGTCAATTTCTTCTTCCAGTGCCTTTCAATCTCTTAGACATCATTATCATGATCTCACTTTACATAATAATGATCCAGAAGCCACCGTCCATTGGTGATACGATTACATTTCATTCATATGGTTAGCTATTCATCTATCTTAGTGCAATATTGACTGTAATATTCAAGAATTGAATTTACATTTCCAAGGCCTACATAATTAGACCAGAATAATCTAGATCAGAACAATCAGAAACTGTACACTGTTTTCCCTACCTCCTACTGGCTCCGTTCATCACCAAAAAGCGGTCATCTGCCTCAAGGTTCCACTGGCAAGAGTTGGTCAAAAAGCTCTATTTAAATCACCATAAGAAATCCATATTCTAAGTCATTCTCAACGTTATTAGAGTTGTAAGGAAATAAAAATACCACTTCTTTGGTGCAAGTGCTTAACCTGTATATCAACATGAATTCGTTATTGGCTTTACAGCCTTGTATCTGTAATTTTTAATTGAAAGGCACATGACACTTGAAACACTCACATGAAAATGAAATTCAAAAAATAGCTGCACAGAAAACAGTCGCGAAATAAATGTACCAATTGAACTTACTTTGCTTTGCAAATATTCTTGGTATTCTACGTTATATTTCTTTAAAAGGTCCTTTTTCAATTCATCTGTCCTTGGGAATGCAATCTCCTTCAGTTTCTTTTAAAAATATATATATACATATTGATTAGTGGGATTCTCAGTACAGTCTTTCAGATCATCAGCTGAGAAAGAAAAGCTGGTATGCGTATTAGAAATCAAGACACAAGTAACCAAAGATGATGGCGGAAATAGAAACTTCTCTTTGCCGTGGCTCCAAAACACAACTTTTCAGTAGGAAATGGAAAGGCTTATCCCTTTTGTAAGAGCCTCTGTTGACTCGACTAGGTAGAGAAGGGCTCTGTTGAGTTAGGTACCCCGTGTTTACGTGGTGGGTTTGTCACTGCACACCGCACAGCAGGCCAACGGTGCGGCATCATGATTAAGACACTGGACAGCGTGGTAGGGAGGGGCCGCTGGGCTTGACAGACCGTAACGGGCAACCGGGGCGCTTTGTGTACAAATACAGATTCCCAGGCCTACGCCCGGTTTCCCCGAATCAACATGTTTTGGGGCAGGGTTGGGGAGTCTGGACCTCAAACAACTTGTCAGTGATTTTTAGTGGCCGGAAAATCTGGGAAATCTGATTTAGTCCAAGCACCACCCTCCTTTTCAGAGATGAGGGAACAAAGGCCTACAGAGATGAGAAGTCTTCTCCAGTATCATGCAGCTAGCTGGTGGCCCCATTATTACTAGAATCCGAATCTAACTCTGGCCAGGCTGTCCCACTAAAATGTCTTTTCTTTTAATTGCCTGTCATCCATCCATCCATCCATCCATCCATCCATTTATTCAACAAGCATACACAAAGAAAACGTATATGCTTTCGGAGAATTTTTTCCTATAAGCAAAAATAAGAATAACACTAAATTAGAGCAAAAGGCTCAGCTTGGTGGCTGGGCCCTTGGGTCCCCTATAGAACCGTCTGAGGTCGAAAGAGCAAGAGGATTGAGAGAAATGCTACATAAGGTGTGGCAATGAGGGCCCCTTCGGAGAAGTGCGTATAGAGATTTTTAAAAAGGTAGATGGTCGTTTGACAAAATCTGGGTTCTCACAGGCCACCTCAGGCCAGATGTAACTGGTAAGAGAGCCTTTCTTCTATTATATGGTCAAGTATCTTTTGAGAGTTATTTAAAATTCCAGGCTGTGATTGGCCTTTTATATACGGTTTCATCTTTCTCCAAGTAAGTTCATCCCAAACTACTTAAGGCAAAGGAGAAACATTAAAAACGTGCTCTTTAAAAGGATATATTCTCCAGCTAAAATTGTTTGAAGCTTGATGTATCAGTTGCAAATGTTGATGGTAAATAAATAACTTTTCAACAACTCTCTCCTTTTCCTTGAGAATATTTCAGGCTATCCACAAACACTTTATTATGCCCTTCGGCTAATCCTACAAGAAGAAAATAGCTAGAACTTTGTGGCCGCCTTAACAATCAGCACTGATTTTCAAACAGTTTTGGGGTTCGGGACTATATGGGATAATCAAAACCGGTCAAGATGACTCTGAAATGAATCTGGGGAATTGGACACGCTTTCCGACAGTCTCTGGGAAGAACAGTGAATACTTCCTCGTCACGCCACAAGGCAAACTGAACACATTCTTGATCTTCTTTTCTCCCCCCGCCTCCCAGTTTCAATTAGACATCCCACACTGGCTCAGTAACGATGATTAAAGGTCCAAGAAGAAATCGAAACATCTTGGCTAATGGAATTTTCTGCGCTCAAGCTCTCAAGAGGACGTGACGAAGGAGGAAAGGAGGTAGGGGCAGATCAATAACGGAGACTCGGGGAGCATTTGATCCCTCAGGGGAGAATCGACCCCACGATACCTTCATAATATCCTGTTTTTCAGGTACCGCACACTGCTGGTAATCTCGATGGCTGGGAAGCTTTTCCACAAACAAGCTAGAAAAAGAGAAAGCACATCCTTAGCATGATATAACAGAAGAAGCAGGTGGGCAGTGGTTTCTAGTATGAGAAAGAAACTCCGTTTCCAAATAGACATGTTTATTACATTATTATTACCCAACATCCTTTCCATCGGCCTTTTCACCGAAGGCAGACATGAACCTATGATTTTGGCATTACAGGGCGGTAAGCTCAGCGGACGGAGCACTGAGGTTACGAGGGTGAGGCTGCTCCCTGACGGACCGTGTCACATTGGTCCTTCTCAAGGTGCGCGGTGCTCAATCCCGCCACAGCGCCACCTTACTCACTTGTGGGGCTGGCAACACAGAGGGTCGTGGAAAAACGTTAAGAGTCTGAAAAGATCAATGTAATCTCTTCTCACCCCTGAAAAAGACTCAAAGGACCACTGATGAATCCGTAGTGTCATGGTGTCTACTGACCAAAAATTCTTTGCTGAAAAGTCGCAACTAAGAGAAATAACAGCCAGAATCCCTAGTGGATTAGGAGGTGCTCACTAGGAGTTCATTCTTCATCACCTTTTTGAGGGACAAGGGACAGTGGACGTAAAGGGAAATCCCAAGAGCAAACCAGATGCATCACTTTCAGGGTAAATGAACATTTTGTTTCACAAGGGCAGGGAATTTTGGGTGTGTTTTTTTTTTTTTCTTACTGATGTATCCCTACTGGTAGAATAGTGTCCAGCTCATAATGTGTGCTCAATAAATATTTGTTAAATAAAGAAATAGTCCTTCCCTGATGGATCATGGTGGGCTGTAAACACTATTTTTGATCAGCTAATATATGATACCTTATCATTATTGGTGTTCTCCTCCTTACAGATCACACCTGCTTGCCTTCGTCATGCTGCCTACAGGCGACAGTGGAATGGTAAAATAACTCTCATTTCTTTTTTTTTTAATGTTTATTTTTCAGAGAGAGAGAGAGAGACAGAGAAAGGGGCAGACAGGGAGACAGAATCCAAAGCAGGCTCCAGGCTCCGAGCTGTCAGCACAGAGCCAGATGCAGGGCTCGAACCCACGACTGCAAGATCATGACCTGAGCCGAAGTCGGACGCTTAACCAACTGAGCCACCCGGGCGCCCATAACTCTCATTTCTTTGAACAAGAAAATTATGGCTTAAAGAGACTATGTAAAGTGTTAGTTGCCTAAAGCT